TGCAGAAGATCTTCAGACATCATTGAATCAGATTAATGGAGCAGGCAAGGCACTGGTCTTGAAAATTAATACTGGCAAAACGAAGTTGATGATTGTAAGTATAGACAATATCTTGAATACTCACTTAGATATAGATGGAAAAAATATTGAACAATTTAGTGCCGGTACTTTTGCTCTCATTTAACAGCCGTTAAAAATAATCAGGGATTTGAATGTGCTTTAACCACTTCATACTTATAGACCTTGGCCCATGCAAAATTTTGACGACGTATCAACTTCGTTAATCGAGAGCAAAAGTATCGGCCCTTACAGACTTTGAATATTTGAGAGACATGCTGAATGGAAGATGCGGGACCCGGAGAAAGAGATGGGCAAGATAGAATAGGCAAGTACCTTCCTAAGATAAAATTCCTTATAGATAGGAACTTGAGCTTGAAACTCAGATACAGAATGGTAAATGTTATGTCTGGTCGATCCTGCTATACGGAGATATCTTATTTGGGACACAAAATACGCGAGAACGTTAGTGCTATAATCGCTACGGAATGTGCAGCAGTAGGCAAGAATACAGGACTTCCATTGAAAAGAAATCCTTGATACGAAAAACGATGGACGCCTATGCAGAAATCTGTATAGCACTTTAAGAAGCACAAGAAAGAGACAACAGAATCAAGAGTATGTGTGCAAGAGAAGGTTTACCACAAATGCCTATGGGCTAAAATGTTCAACACTGGAGCCTACATAATGAATGAATTAAGTGTATCCAGAGAAAGCAACAAGTCGCCCTATGAAATATGGTATGTTTAAATAGGGACTTAATTAGCATTGCTCCATAGAGTTCAAGATAACCTACAAAAGTGCATCATTTTTCTTGGGACTCTTATGCTAAAAAGCTACTGTAGAGACATTCAAGATGCAGAATTGGAAGCTAGTCTCAACATAAATTGAGTGAGTCAGGGAAGGATGGGAAAGAAGGTGATCAAAAGTTTTGCAGACCCCATGACGAAATCCCTGTTCAAACCAAGATTATTGGATTTAAGAAGTTTGATGGGTTTCAGATGAATAACTACACAATAATGGGGGAAGATGTTGAAGTCAAATATTCATGTATACATTTAATTATTGAGAATGCAATAGTTGAAATTGACAGATATTAAAAATGGTATTATAGTTTTTCCTTAATTTCTAATTTAAATCTTATATGAACTCTAAGATCAACAAAATCATAATCAACAAACCGGACCCTCGTTTAATTGTTTAATTGAACCCGTGGTGTAAGTACCAACAGAACATGCGTCGGCCCTGAAAGCAATAATGGGTTTTTTGTTTCAGTAAACTGCACTATTATTTTGCAATTTGTTTTGTTTATTGAATTGAATGCAAACTTTGTTGCACAAAATTAGAAAAAAAAATCTTGAATAGTATACCCATACCCATACAATTCTCATCACTTATTCATAAGGAATTTCCCATAGCAGCGTTCATTCAATGTTGCAAATTCCTGCCGCGGTTCAAGAAACCGCGACATTTCCGAAGGTTAGTGCACTGCATCGGACCAGCGTACCATCTATTATATTTAATACCATGGTAGCTGTTCTAGGGTGACCGCGTTAAAAGAGTGATTGGTCATACAAAAAATCTCATAACGGAACTACTTATTTTATTGTTACTACTAATTTATTATCGATTTACAATGACGGAGAACCCATAATTCAACATTTATTCTTATAGTAATTACGATCATGGCCTGGTACCATTCTTTCACTTTTTCCTGCAACAATAACAACAACAAATCGGATGCTGTCACTTTGCAACCGTGGTACTGGTCTTATTTCCAATACAGGAACCTGTTTTGCGATATTCATTATTATCTCGCGAACGCCCACTATTTTTCAGAAAGGTTATACGAGCCATAGTTTGATAGCGGAAATGTGGTTATTTGTGTCTTGTTTTTATGTCCGATTAATATTTATTTATTATTTTTTGTTTTGGAGTTGAATGTAATTCTTTTACAATCTTTACACAATCAGATGTTATAGAAAGACTTTTTTCTATCTCAGAAAACTGCTTCAAATATCTAAAAGTTAAGGGACTGACAATAATATTACACGTCACGCCCAGAGAGTCGGGAGTCTGGACAAAAGCTTTTACAGATCTACACCTTGATTTTGTTGTAACTTGTTGAATTATAACAAAATTGACTCCAGATTCTTAAACTTGGAACAAATCTTCGATGAAAATCATCATCATCATCATTCAGCCTTTTCTTGCCTCTTCTACCCAGTTCGCTAATATCTGGTTCGTCTACATGTGACCAACGTCTTGACCCATCTTTGTTCTTTCTACCTCCACTCAATTTTTACCATGTTTAATTTCATATTTACACCTGTTCCAAATATTTCTCACATTTCCTCTTGAGAAGTTATACCGAAAACGTTATCTAAACTAATCTTGATTTTACCGCAGAAGTTTTTGAAATGGTGAGAATTTTTAGATCATTATAAGACAAAAACTCACTTTAAGCCAGGCCAGAGTTATTCTTTCCTGTTCTACGTATTCTCAGATTAGAATAATCTACTTTTTTCCTCGAAATGTCGTTCACCAAGTCTTTGTGAATGATATCAATTATCAAGAAAAGCCGGGTTTAATGAAAACTATCCAAAAACCAATAAATTTTATCTCCCAGTTTCCTTGTAAATGAGTATTATCTGAAATAAAAAAATGATAATTTTAAGTCAGGATGTAAATCAATTATTGTTGAACGTTGTTTCAAAAACAATGAGTCGATATTTCGGAGAATATTTAATTGAAAGACTTGGAAGAGCAGCTGTAAATCCCAAACAAAGCGAAATTTTCACCAAAAGAATAATTTCTGAATATTTTTGGCATTTAATATGAATGGATTCAATGTTGAGAAGGAGATGTTCATAATATTTTCCTGTGTGTCGACTTTTAAGCCTCAAAAATGATTTCATTTAGAAAGTGAGATGCCCAAATCCATGAAAGATTAACAAGACAGCAGAATCTGTGATGAAATATTGAAATATCCACAATAATCCTCTTAATCATTCTCTTTTTCCATAAAAAATATATATTTCTTGTCAATTTTTCGTTTCAAACACCAAGAAAGTCGTAATTTTTGAAGATTACATTCAGGTTCTCAAAAAAAAAACAATGGATGATGTTTCAACGTCGACAAATAATTTGATTTTTGAAGAACTCTTCATCTTGAAACCTGACAAAAAGAAGAAGTTAAGGAGTCAAAGTGATAAGAATGAGGCTCCAAAACAGTAAAATTTTGTATCTGAAATACTAAAAATATTCTGATTTTTGCTCAAAAATTTACCAAAATAGACAAATATTCTGATTTTCTGAGAGTTCTCCCGAATTTCAGAATAAAAGTACCTGTAGCAAACATGATGATGAAGCTCCGAAACAAAATTCGGTATTTTCCCATACACTTTGGTACCTTTTCCAATTATGACCGAATATTACACGTATAATTCGCTCTTGGGTTTTCTTTGAAATGTCGTTCACGAAGTTTTTGTCGATTATATCAATTATCAAGAAAAGCCGGGTTTAATGAAAACTATCCAAAAACCAATAAATTTTATCTCCCGTTTCCTTGTAAATGAGTATTATCTGAAATAAAAAAATGATAATTTTAAGTCAGGATGTACCGTTTTACAATTTCCTTGTATTATATAGATAGAAAGCTGAAATTTTCACTGAATTTTATCTCAACCAAGGGACTACAATCCCTGAAAATTTCAGCTCATTTGCACTTATAGTTCCTGAGATAAAATTGTGTTAAGCAATTTGGGGTGATTTATCAATTTTTCAATTTTTCTGAGTGCCTTTTTTCATAGATTTCGGCTTCAAATCTGAGAATAATTTAGTGTATGGTGTTTGGGTTAAGCAATTTGGGGTGATTTATCAATTTTTCAATTTTTCTGAGTGCCTTTTTTCATAGATTTCGGCTTCAAATCTGAGAATAATTTAGTGTATGGTGTTTGGGTTAAGCAATTTGGGGTGATTTATCAATTTCTCAATTTTTCTGAGTGCCTTTTTTCATAGATTTCGGCTTCAAATCTGAGAATAATTTAGTGTATGGAGTTTGGGGGATGTTGAATGACCATTAGAATACAAAATCTTGACAAAAAAAAATTTGAAATTTTTTTTTCGTTTTAGTAAGAAGGTACCTACCTACCTTATGATTTAGATTTTGGAAAACTTTGAAAGGTCATAACTTTTTTTCTCGAGTTTTTTCTATTATAGACAGAAAGCTGAAACTTTCACTGAATTTTATCCCAATCAAGGCAAGGGACTACAATCCCTGAAAATTTCAGCTCATTTGCACTTATAGCACAGCATATACAAAAACAATCAGCAGGCTAACTTGAGTGACAGCCCATGTAATAAAGGAATTCATGATCGGGATGACACTAGCGGCCATTTTGGGATACGAGACAGGGCCTGATTAACAATAATTTAGTTTTTTTTTTCGTGTCACAGAGCCGTATTGGCTCTAATTAAAGTTATTTATTTGCAAGGTAGACAATGGAATTTTATGAACATTGGCTAGAGCTTGAGAATTTCCAGTTTTTACATTAATAAGTATATGACCATTTAAATAAAAATAAATACAAATTAAACACAAATAAGATATAAATACATTTTTTTTATAAACTATTAAAAACAATATAAAATAATTCATCTCACAAATTTCTCCAAATAATGAGTTTGTTCTTATTGATTTTTCTGAAATTTCGATTAATATTTTTTATACTATAATAAATTCTTAACCTAAAATAAAAAATTCAAAGCAAATTTTTTTGGAAAATCTTCGCAAGGGTGACTGAAAGGTACACAAGTGCTTAATTCTACCAAACTGCTGCAAACATTTGATTTCGAAATGGCCGTCTCAAAATTTGATTGAAATATGTATTCAATCGATGTTATAAAATTAACAAAATCATCATGTGGATTTTTTAAACTACCGAATGTATTTCCTTCTGCATTTTCATATGCCTTAAAAAAACAAAAAAGTGAAGTATCATCAAGCTCTTGATGTGCATTAGAATACTGCTGACATTTTTCACAGCAATGCAAGTTCAATCCCTTCTTGAGCAAATAGCCACAAACATATCTGACAAAATTCTTTTCCAAAATATCCGAACGTTGGTAATCGTTAATTTCTTGTACAGGATCTTTTGGGAAAGTTCTGACTAATGGATTTTCATATACAGGTATGTCATTCAATTTTACCAACATTTGATCACCATCTGCTTCACAATTCTCGGTACCTGAATGGAATAAATTTAAGCACTGTAGTTTTCTAAAGGAACGTTTAAATTGTATCGGGGTAGGATTACAACAATTTCCATTTTGTCGCCTAATTGTGCCAAAATTATTTTCTAACCCATCTTGATTTAGTCTTCGGGTGAAAAGGTACTCAAAATGATGAATATTTCTAAGCTCATTCCAAAGGCCAAGTAAACTATTAATAGATATTTTTAAACATTTGATCGATTTTATATTTTTTACAATATTTCTATTCAACTGATCACGGATTTCTAATTTATTAAAAAAATCTAAACATTCTAACAAAAATTCTACTTGGTAATCGAGTCCTTTATATGCTCGATTATATTTTTTTTCTGCTGCAGCCTTTGACGAGTTAAGAATGTCAAACAATTTATCCATTCTCTCTACGAAGGATGCTGTGAAAATAGCTTCAGATGGAAGGTAACCGAATCTAATATATAAGTTCATGCTTGCGGATACGCTTGCACTAAATATTTGTGTTGCATATTTCATTTTCATTTTTTCGAAGGGACTGGGACTTATATGGGAATCTGTCAATTTTGGTGCAGCTCTTATAGGGTACTTTTTATCGTGGTCATAAAACCTTTTTATGTATTGCCAAGAAATCCTGTTACCTTCATCATAAAAATCATACTTAATTAGCATATTTCTAATCGCTTTTATTATGTGGGGAATATCAAAATTGTAAAATAATTTTGAATTTCCTATATAAAACGAGGGCTCATCATCTGTCACATCTAGAATATTGGCTAGTTGTATATTATTTGATCCCATATCCGTGGTTATTCCACAAACCTTCAATTGAATGGCTTTCAATTTTTCTACAGCCTCTGTTAAAATTTCTGCCAATGATTGTGCTGGACAAATTGTATGACTGAAATAGTAGGCCAGTGGTTGCTTCCATTTGTAGCAGATACCTCTAACCATTACAACACAAGCGGACAAAGCAGGTTTCAAGAAATTTTCCCCTTTATTGTTTTGGGCAAGACCAACAACACAATCAGAAGCCCTATGGTAAAATAAATTACCCTTAAGGTTCATTTCGTCAATGCATAAGAAGCAGCATTTATTTTTCTCTTCGAAGCAATCCATTTTCGCTTTGATCATTTTCAAAAATTGTGGATTGCAAAGATCTGGACTTATTTGAATGGAACGTATTCCATTAAGAAGGGTTTGCGGTCCTGGGAGGCAAAATGCCTTTCTCAAATAACTTTTGTAAACCTTCGGACGAGCAAAAATTTTTTTTAAACATTCAGCTTTAATCTGCTTGGAGTATCTTCGTCCTTTTGGTTTTTTCTTATTCTGGCTGATTTGTGTGTTGATAAATTCTGCAGTGAATTTGTTCTCACAAAATTTAAATGTTTGAGTCTTATACTGTTCAAGGGTAATCGAATTTTGATAAGTTTGCGAGTCATTTTCCAGTTTTCTGCATTTTACTCTCAAACTTTTATTTTCTTTGGTGAGATTTTTGATACGGTCTTTATATTTTCTTTTTCTGGGAGAGTTGGAAGATAAAGTTGTTGAAGTTTGAGTTGACTTTGTTAGGCATAACAAAACCGGAGTCGTTTGTTTGGTGTCACTTTCTATGCAACTTTGAATGGATGTTGGAGGACTTAGCAAATGAGAGTTTGCTATTTTGGTGTCACTTACTGTAGTAGTGCTTGTACGGTCATTTTCTGAAAAAAAAAACATGTTTAATAAATGCAGATATACTAAAAAAATCTTGTGGGTTACATACTTGGGACCATTATGACGTCCTGAATTATTTTTATTTTTTCAGGAACATCAGATCTAGGGTGTATAAGAGGTGGAGGCCTATAACTATGATCTTCTGCCTTAGAAGAACCTTCCAACGTAGGAAATATTGTAGGGACAGCATTAAAATTCAGGCGGTTACGGAGATGATTCGTGAACATTTTGGCTTCAAAATGATCTCCACATAGGCGATGGCTTTTATGTATATTGTTCAATTTTTCCAACAAATCTTCACGATTACAGGCAATCAACCATCTTCTGGCCCTGTGAATCAAAACACTCGCTTGTTGAATAATATTCTATCAACATAATATGTACCTCTCAGAATCCGTTGGAAAACGAAAAAAAGCTCTTGTCCCAATTCGATCGTCTATTCCGACAGTTTTGTGCTGCACATACGTGCCCACCAGCCCGTTTATCCATTGCAGTTTTTTGATATACTATGGCCTAAGTCTTTCCTTGAATCTACCTCCTACTGCAAAATAATGATAAATAATTACATATTGGTATTTCTTTTACAAATAATTCATGATACTTCACTTACCTAATTACTGCTTGAAAAATTATAGTTTATTATAGTCCAAATCACAAATAAAAAGTCCAACAGCCTTACGCAGCATCCACTTTTAAAAAATTACAAATTTTTAAAATTGACAGCTTTCAAAATCGTTTTTAACGTTTAAATAGTACATTAAAATACAAGTTTCATAAGACGTCATTTTATCGCACGAGCCCTATATTAGAAAACGAGCCGGAGGCGAGTTTTCTAAAGGGCGAGCGCGATAAAATGTCTTATGAAACGAATATTTTATACTATTTTTTCTATTTTGGTATTGTTTAATTAAAAAAAACAAATTTTTCTTAGAAATTTTATTCTCATATTTCGATTTCATATATTTAGGTTGGTAACATTACATGCCAAATATAGAAATCTTCTATTATAAAATCGCGAATGACAGTTCGAAGGCCATCAGTCAGCCAGTGTCACCAACCTCCAATAAGTAAAAAAGGAGTGTCACAAAGAGCTTCTTTTCGAAACTACTTTTAGTGTCGAAAAGACTTCGATGTGACACCAAAATAGAAAAAGTATATTAAAGTATAAGTGGATATTACTCCTGACAAATCAATAATTAAAAAGTTGACATTTAGACCTTTCTCGGGTTGTTGGTTGTTGATGTTGTCATTGGTAACTTTAAAACACGCGCGTTTTTGAATGTTGGATTTAAACACGCTGAGGAGTACTTTAAATAAGTGAAATAGGTTATCAATAAAAAAAAAGATGTTGCATACGGCGGCAAGTCTATTTTTATAGGATTACATTTTTTAAAAATAATGTATTGAATCATCTGATGAACTCGTTTTTATTATCACTTATACAGGGTGTATATTTTAAGTGATACCACTATTGCTATATCCGAAACGGTAAGAGCTACAAGGTCGGGTAAATAAGAAAAAAGTTGCCTTTTTTGATGCCCATTCAAGACTTGTTCACAGTGTTGCCAAACTCCTTTTAGTTTATGAAATACAGGGTGATTTCTTAAAAACGCCTAAAATTATTTCACCAATTATTTCGAAAGCTATTGATATTCGAGACACAATTTATATTTGAAAGTTTTTCAATTTTTCTCGCTCTACAACATGGCATCTTCAAATTTTAAATCCGACGTTTCCTGATCGAACTACCATCATCAGCTTCATTTTTTTAAATACGGACCTAGATTTTTTATGTCAGTTTCACAAAGGGAGTGAAAGGCGCTTTCTAAAAATGACATAAAAAATCTAGGTTCGTATTTAAAAAAATGAAGTTGATGGAAGCTCAATCACGAAACGTCGGACTCAAAATTTGAAGATACCATATTGTAGAGCGGAAAAAATTATAAAACTTTCAAATTTAAATTGTGTCTCGAAAATCAATAGTTTTCGAAATACTTGATGAAATATTTTTGGGCGTTTCTCAGAAATTACCCTGTATTTCATAAACTAAAAGGAATTTGGCAACACTGTAAACGAGTCTTAACTGGGCATCAAAAAATGCAACTTTTTTCTAATTTAACCGACCTTGTAGCTCTTACCGTTTCGGATATAGCAATAGTGGTATCACTTAAAATATACACCCTGTATATAATAATATAAAAAAAAATATCTATAATTACCAATTTATTATTATTATTAAATTTACAAGAATGATAAGATAACACATGATAATACGATAACACTATAAATGACAGGGCCGTATTCTCAGTCACACCTCAAATTAAGGACCCCTTGCGACTTGAAGGTCGCCTTGAATAAGGACTCCTTTGTGGTTTGTGACTTTGGCGTTTCATAGTTGCGAATTAAAGAATTCTTATTGAAGGAAGCCTCGTCTTAAGTTTTGCAGCTGACAACACCGCTTTCTACGAAATGTCTATTGTTATTGTCATTAGGTTGTCATTGTTGATATATGGTTCAATACTCTTTCGCATAGAATCATATATTAACAAGCTATAGCTGTAGAAATAGTGATTTTTTTGTGAAATTCATGCACAAGTAATTATGGCGACCAAGTACACCGAGAGAAAATGTTCCTGGTCCAGATGGTAGCTCAGCACAGAGTCATAGTGGAAAATAAAGAAATAGACGCCGTATTATTGGAGGAAAAACAGGCTGCCTGGGGATAACCAAAATTTGTAGTTCCTTGACCATTTTGTAGATAACCCACAACCATGGAGTTGTTTCGCGATATAATAGCTATTTATGTACCAAGGGGATTATGTAGATTACAATGCCCGAAGGCGAAACTAGCCCGAGGGCCTATGGCCCGAGGGATATATTTCGCCTGAAGGGCATTATAATCTTGAAATCCCCGTGGTGCATACAATGCTTTATTTTCTACTCAACACAATGTTTTTTAATCAATTTGTTATTAACAAAATCAGTTAAACTTGTGGGACAGAATATTGTTTTGTATTTTGACATGTACCTGCACCTGTGACCTGTACCTGTACCTGCGACCTGTACATAGAAACGAAATAAATTAATATATCTATAAACATCTCATAAGGTAAGGCAACGGTGGTGGTCCTGTGGGTTAACACGCTGGACTACATGGGAAACATTGATGGTAGACCGGGTTCGAATCCTGGCTAGACCGAAAATTATTTTCGGTCAGACATTTAATGGCTACCTAGGGTAAAGTGCAAATTAATAGAACAACAACAACAAAAACACCTTAAGGTATTATAAGCGGGCGTTATAGATCCTAACGCCCGCAAAAGCGGGCGTTATGGATCAGGTTGTTATAGGTGTGTTAACGTATTTCGTTTCCTAGGTATTATGGATCTATAATAGTAAAGTAGAAAATAATAGCTATTTATGTACCAAGGGGATTATGTAGATTATAATGCCCGAAGGCGAAACTAGCCCGAGGGCCTATGGCCCGAGGGATATATTTCGCCTGAAGGGCATTATAATCTTGAAATCCCCGTGGTGCATACAATGCTTTATTTTCTACTCAACACAATGTTTTTTCATCAATTTGTTATTAACAAAATCAGTTAAACTTGTGTGACAGAATATTGTTTTGAATTTTGACATGTACCTGTACCTGTGACCTGTACCTGTACCTGCGACCTGTACATAGAAACGAAATAAATTAATATATCTATAAACATCTCATAAGGCAAGGCAACGGTGGTGGTCCTGTGGGTTAACGCGCTGGACTACATGGGAAACATTGATGGTAGACCGGGTTCGAATCCTGGCTAGACCGAAAATTATTTTCGGTCAGACATTTAGTGGCTGCCTAGGGTAAAGTGCAAATTAATAGAACAACAACAACAAAAACACCTTAAGGTATTATAAGCGGGCGTTATAGATCCTAACGCCCGCAAAAGCGGGCGTTATGGATCAGGTTGTTATAGGTGTGTTAACGTATTTCGTTTCCTAGGTATTATGGATCTATAATAGTAAAGTAGAAAATAAAAATAATAATTGACAAAATATTACGTAGTGAAGTCAATTATTATTAAAAATTAAAGAAAAAATAAAATTATATATACAATTAATCTATTAATTTTTTGATTTTTTTTACATTTGTCTTTTTTAATGTCTTAACTTTTCAATGTTTCAACTTTCTGTTCCTTTTCCTCTGCCAAATGCGGAGTCTAGCGACCTAAAATACTTTGTAATATGTGAGCGATAGCCCCTGATGAAGAGGTCTTCTAGCCCCGAAACATGTAGGGCGCTTTAAATTGATCAAAGTAATTTGTGGAGGAGGACTTTGTGTATTCTTTTGGAATCAAACTTCAACTACACTTTGAAAGATGGACTACTTCTTCAATTTAGAACTCTAATGGATTCTGCATGCCTCGAATAAACCTTCTTGGCCTCCGCAGCACAACCCTCGTGTGGCTAAATTCAGCAATGCCACGGATGCGGTGATTTATCGACTAACTAATGCATGCTAATGCCTGTTTAATTCAATACTGCTTTTCCTACCATTCCACCACGGTGCCTGCATTAGCTGAATCAAGCATCAGCAGCATTTATCTCTACAAAAAAAATCCAGCTCATCCATACCAATTACATCGATAAAATACAGTTCACGTACAATACGTATCAATTAGGTTCACATACTGTCACCAATAGATTAGAAAACCAGCCTCAAGGGACCTCTGGACATTCCTCAAGTCAAGGAAGGAAATGTGACAAAATAAGCATGAGCTGCGATAAGGACGCCTTGACAATTTTGACTCTGAAAGACAATTTACTGCCAAGGAAACCTTTAAGGAATCCTCAGCACTCAAGTAGGCACTATGAATACCGGGCTAAGAATACACTAAAATCACAGCATCTGAAATTATATGCGGTAAATCACAACTTAAATTCCGCTCTACACCGCACGCCTATGACCACCGCCAGAAATAAACAAATAAAATAAAATTTCGGCGCCCCTGCCGTTTAATGACAGCGTTGTGACAGAATGGTATCCCCTAATGGCGGCGTGCGCAGAAAAGATGCGCGTGAGAGTTAGCCTGCTAATTGTTTTTGTATATGCTGTGCTTATAGTTCCTGAGATAAAATTGTGCAATTTAGGGTGATTTATCAATTTTTCAATTTTTCTGAGCGCCTTTTTTCATGGATTTCGGCTTCAAATCTGAGAATAATTTAGTGTATGAAG